GCTATGTAATGGTACCTAAATTATTCTCATGACTTTTTAAGTTGTAAGTGATCCTGTATTATAAATAAAACTTGCATGCAACTGGGCTATCTTTTGAAGTTCTCATTTCCTCCATTAATGAGGAACCACTGTTCTTGGTAATTTCTCATTTCCATCCACACTACAGCACAAAAGAGGATGTTGCATGACAGAAATTACAATCAAAAAACTTTTAATCATTGAATTCTATATGTTACTTTTATTCTAGATGATTCCATCTCCTCCAGTACCTAAGACTACCCAGGGATTTATTGGCTGGAGATCGGCTGTTCCAGGGTTGGAACTAGAATGTGGTTTTCAAATCCGAAGCTGCAAAGGTACCTTTTTTAAGGATCTGAAGTGGCCATGTGAGCCCTCTGACTGACATTAAGAAATAACAGTTAGGCACATAGATCCGTTTGCATCCCCTAAGTTAACATTCTATAGAGGACTGTCGGACCATGCAACATTGATGCTTTAAAAATGATTTATGTAAACATTCACAATCATTTTGGTAAAGTGTGAACATTTTAATGTAGCATTTTACTTGTTACTGATTTTTTTAAACCTGTGTCATCCAAGCTGTTAACACTGCTTCAGGTTGACTTAGAAGTAACAATGAATAAACTCATATAAAGATAACAGAGCAGGTACTGCTTTTATTAACGTTGGTAAGACTATGATTTTAAAATATTTATTGGACATCTTTAAAAAACTTTTTTTGTAATGACAGAGCACATTTTTATAATTGTTTCTCCATGAAAGCCTCCATTCGGACTCAGTTTCACAGCTGCTTTTTCAAACATAAATACAGACTGCCGTGTTCCTGACAGTCCTACCCTGCTGCTCATTCCCAGTTCATCACTTACCAGTATTGGAATCTGTGTTTAGAATTAGTTTTCGATCAGCACTCTGAACTGGCCCACTATTGCGTTGTTCAAGTGCCTGTGTTAGCACATAAACATTTCTTTTGTACAGAAAGAGAATGAGAAAAGGCAGGGAAGAGTAGCAGGCATAACTTAAAATTGCTCAAGCTGCTGTGAAACTGCATCCTTGCATTTGTAAAGAAGCTTTCCTCATGAAAAAACAAAGCACAACAAACAAAAAACACCTGCAGAAAAGATAGTCATCAGGCTTCATCATAGTGTGTCCACTGCAGCTTGAAAAAAAGAGTCAAATCACAAGTATAGTTAAGTCATAATGATTAAATGCATTGTCTTTTGTGCTGTGCGTGCTTTACACACACGTAAGTAATTGAGTAGTTTCCAGTGCAGCTGCTTGATTGGTATATATATAAAGTATACAAAGGCCACAATGACACAAAGTCACTTTCAGAAATCGATTTTGATATCAAAACAGGTTTTTTTCAACTAGTGGATCAGAATGCAAATGTTTTACAAAGTATTTGTTGCTTCAGTTTTGTCTATACCAGTATTTATACCAACCGGTACTGGTGAAAGACTCACAAGCAGTAGGGGGTTGCACTGGGAGTTACTGGTGTAGCTGTCTCACTGCACTTCGTTACCTACCTGAAGATTTGCCAGGACTTTTGGAAATGCAGAAGGAGACTCATTTGGTTGTAGCAACTATTTGCAGGATATGGTTCTAGTTGGCTAACATGTTTAAACTAGAAGACTGTTTAAACAAATAACAGCCTCCAAGAAATCAACACAGGCAGCTCCTTATAACTCCTTATTACTTAAAGAGGAAAGACTTTCCTCTTTAATCCTGCTGCAAGATCTCCTTTTGTTCTGCAGTTATCAATATCTACTTCTTGAGTCAGCAGTAAGTCCTTGGCTTTCATAGCAGTAGGTCAGCAGCTAGTGTTTGTTCTTTCCTTCTTCCCAAGAAATGACTCACAGTGATCAACATCCCACCTATTTTTTTCACATCCAATTCCAAATGCCCACAAAATAATAATATTTTACTTTTTTCCATATTCTTTACAAATAATGGAGAAGTGACTCATATCCTTTGGAAAGATTACCCAAGAATGAGAATACATAGCAGAAGTAACTTCAGACAGAAGAACCAGAAAAAAAAAAAAGCTTGGAAATCAGACTCTGGAAATTTAAATTGCAGTTTAGCTGCTAACTATAACGTGTAAACTGTTCTTTGAACAAGCAAGATAATTGTAAGAACAATATTTTAAATCAGTGTGCTTTCTTGTCATTGCGAGGTTTGTGTATTCATTTTAATCACATGGTTCTTCAGTTTATTTTAAGGTCACATATAGATCCTCTTATTCTTGTCTGACTTATATAAAGAGGTTAAGATTATTATGTAATTTAGTTGCAACAAATTACATTAATTCAGACCAAATGAAAGGGGAGCTTCAAAACCACTGTTTTTAAAAAAATGTTATATTAAAGAACCAAAGCTGGCACCTAATATCCAGTAGATGTTCGTATGAAGTGAAATCCAAATCATATGAATCATGGTTTGATTTTGAAAAACAGAATAAATTCTTTGTCCAGCATCTACAATTGGAAATTTCTAAATCTTCCTCCCAATGTCTAAATATTAACTCTGTACTAACAATAAGGGGTTTTTTTATTATACTTCCCATCATTTAAGGTACCTTTACTTAAGGAGATGGTTTGATATAGATTCGAGATGTGTAAGGAGTATTGTCTAAAATTTGAATTCATTCCTCTAGCATAAATCTGTCAGTTGTGGATTGATCCATGTATTTGGGGTTTTGGTGTTCAAGAATATGTGAAACTATAAACCTGACTATTTCTTTTGCCAACACTTTTAGTTTGACCCTTTATACCTGAAAAAAATATGCAGAAGTTGCGCATTTGCAGCTGTGTCCTGGTTTGAGGTAAAACAGGACCAATTTTGTTCGGTAGCTTCTTAGCTGTGCCTCTTCTAACTACTGAAATTCACAGCATATTGTGCAGACACTGTTCGCTCTCAGAGTGATCAGACCCATGTTTATAGCTGATGCCCAGGCATGGTGTGCAGAGGGGCTCTCGCGTACACTTACTGCTCTAACCCCCAGGGGCAGCTCACTCTGTTATGTGCCCCGTCGGAGGGTCGGAAGCGGAGAAGCGCAGAGGGGTCCCACCTGCAGGGAGGAGGGGACAGGACAGGTGACCCAAAACTGACCAACGAGGGTATTCCATCCCATCTGCCTCACGCTCAGTATAGAAGCTGAGGGATCGAAGGGTCAGCCCTCTTTCTTCAGCGGCCAGCGTCTGAGGAGGACTCTGTCTGTCTGTCTGCCTTTAATCCCGATCCTGAATCCAGATCCATAATCCAGTTCCCGTCCGTCACCGAGTCCAGTCTGGGACTTCCCCAGTGCCAGCCGGTGACGTGATTGTCATCCTGGGAGCTTGATACGGTTTTGTATATATTTCATTATTTCCTTTTTATTTTATTATTAAGATTTCATTAAAGTAGTTTAGCTCCTTCTAAACTCATAAATCTCTCTCTCTGTCCTCTGCCTCTCTCTTTGAAGAGAGGTATGGGGGACCATCTGTCGCTCACCAGTTCCACCCAAACCACAACAAGCTGACAAAGGACTGCCCAGTCAACTGACCCAACTGTGAATCCAAAAGGCCAACACAGAATTATTAAATCACCTTGTAATGGTTCAAACCTGGCATTTAATTTGCGGAAATTAACCTATTTATTGTAGCCAAGTTGGGCACATAAATGTCACTGCACACCATAAAATATCACACCATCTCCAAGGTCAGGATAGTGTTAGTAAACTCAGTGCACACACTGGGGAAATGCTTCAAAACAAAATTAAATCGCTTCAAAACAAAATTAAATCACTTCAAAAATACAGCAAAAGTCACAACAATTTTAATTCTATATAAAAGTCTCAGACCTGTGTTTCTGTGCAAGTCAGAGAAGACTGGGATATTTCTAAACATATATAAAAAGTTAGGCAGTTTATTTTTAACCAAAATTTGAAAACAAGATGCAAGGGTATTTAGATGTCTTCAATGCTTCAATCTAAATTTCATTAGGTGTAGTCTTTTGTAAAGTTTTTGGTAGTCTGAGCTTAATATCAGCAAAATATCAGTTCTTCCTTAGTTGACTAATTTTTCAGAAAACTGAAGCCATCTTGTATTTTGACTGTTGTTTTCAGATAAACTAGTTCTTTGGTAACAGGCTCATTTTAAAGAGGAACTGTGGATGATGCTTTCAGAATTGCATATGCAAAAATTTTACTGTATTTGATACAGACTTACCGCTTAAGACATGAAAATAGGTCAGCCATACATCTTTTGCCACCATGGATATGTGCCTGCATATACTTTCCTGGGTGTGTGATGAAATAATAATAATAGAGGCTTAAATGTCAGTTGTATTTAACTTGAAGTGCTATGAAATCAAAATTATCTTTCTTTCAAGCACATGCTTTATAAACAAAAAAGAATGGGTGACAAAAACCTGGTGCGTTTTCCTTCACAGTGCGTTCTTTTCTGTGCTGTTAGAACTGGCATAGAACTGGCACTTGCTATTTATAATTTCATTAATATATTTTACTGGGAGCTCAGAGGTGGAAGACATTTATTTAAAATGTGTTGTGCATCAGAGAATAAAGGTTTTTGATTAGATGACAGTGAAATGGTGATTCTGAAAAAGTAGCACTACTCAAATTGCAGTTACCGTACAAGTGTTGCTGTACATTTTGAAAGATGCAAAATGAAAAGCAACCACAGCATATGCATAGCCAATTGATCTGGCTACTGTAAAAGGTGGCTGCTTAGAGAATAATCTAATCACTGTTTTTCATGACACATTTCTACGAAGATACATGCTTTGACTATCCTAACGGATACCCACTGCATTCCTAAGTTTGTGCAAAAATTACTGTCTCCAGTTCCTGCTCTGTCAGCCTGGAGTAACTTTAATTCTGAGATTGTTTGCCTTACAAAACAGAGGATGTAGATTTTTTTTTTCCTTTCAGAGACCTAAGGCTCCCCATTCACACACATCATTTCCCTCTTTGGTGAAGGATTCTTTGTGGTTTCTTCCACATTCTACAAAGTACCAAAGCGACAAACACTAGTCTAACATAGTCATTGGCAACCAGACCAGAAATCTCTACCCCGACGTGAAGCCCAACTCAGGGCACTTCTTGCATTAGGTTCCTAAATGTGTTGCGTTTAGTTCCCGTTGAAACCGTAAGTGTCAGTGTAGCAAGACAGATAAGACCCGCTTACAGACTATTACCTTCTTCCTGACTCCTGCAGTTTTCTCATCCCATCAAATTGTTATTTAACTAGTTGAAAGCATGTCAAACCATTTCATAGGATCACAGTGTAATAAATTAACTGTACTGGAAAATGATACCATTGTGCTGTGAAACTGATCAGTTTGCCAGTGAACAAAACGTTGCCTCTTTAGTCTGTTCTAACA